CCTTCATATCACCTCTGGATTAGGCCTTCTTCGGGCTCAGCAGAAGAAATCTAGAATGTTTGGTTACTGGCCATTCAATGGAATAAAGTCCAAATCCAAAAAGATTTTCAAAATGAACACCACCACCACCCCTTTGTGTTCATTGTCTCCCCAGCCTAGATGGGTAATTACTCCATCAAAGATCTGGCTCTAACACTAATCAAAGACACAGCATCCCATCTGCTGACAGCCAATGCCTGAGGGAGATTTCTCCCGAGCACCCACAGTGAGGATTCGGAGCTGCCAACAGCAATGGCTATTGCTGAAAACGAAACTGGTCCTCACATTTCATACAGCAGTCAAAGAACCACGTCTGTCAGACCTCAGCAACAACCTGGGCTGAAATACGTTAGCTGAATGGCAGTTAAGTGGGATCTGTGGTGAAAGTGGCCCTGAACACCCAGCAACAGGAGGCTTTCAAAGTAGAGTGGAACCTCTTAGGTGCCCCGCCTCACTGTCTGCCCAGGCCGCACGTGGAAATCCACCCAGCACTGGCTTTTCTCCTCTTAGAACGCTTCTTTTCTCCGGGCCTTTCCATCTCTAAAAACTGGGTTCTTACACTTGAACGCATGGTGCTTTAAAAACTGGCAATGGACATACTTCCTCCCTCCCCCATTTATTTTTCCTTCTTCTCTGCTGTAACTACCCTCCCCCTAAAAGCCAAACCAAATCAAGCCAGAGCTTCCCCACTCCTCCCCCTGGGCTCACTCCCTGCAGTTACAGATTCACTGGCCTGCTCTCCCCTCCGTGCACTGTGAGCTCCACAAGGGCAGGGCCTGTGTCCTGTCTTGCTCGACAGCATGCCCACTACTCTACATCAGTGCCTGATGCCCAACGGCCACTCAGTCAAGATCTGTGACACAGAGCCGTTACTTTCTGGAAAATGGGTTAATGGCTGAAAACAACAAACATTTATGATCTCACAACCCTTTAGAGAAGGCATACCTCTAGCTAAGCATCCTTGGTCAAGCGCCCAGAAGAGCTGGGAGCCCCAGGTAACATGAAACTCTTCTGATGCAACTAAATTGGTGGTTTTCAGACTTTAGTGACACACACACACACACACACACTCACACACAAATAGTCTGAGACATTTGTTAAAATACAGATTCCCACCTGCCTCCCTCTTCCTCAAGTTCTGCTTCAGTGGGTTGAGATGTGTGGCCCAGGAGTCTGCATTTTCAAGCACACACCCCGGGCTCTTCAGGGCGAGGCTGTCTGGGCACTGTTTGGGCACTGCTGGCTAGCTCACCCAGTGACACTCTGTCTAGCAGAGCCAGAGGTTAGGGAAGGAGAAGGCTGTGGGAGAGACCAGTCTAATCTCGATGCTGGATGAGGAAACCAAGGCACACATGGAGGGAGTGGGTGGCACGGGTCTCGGAAGCAGCTTCACAAAGCCCCTGGCTTCCTTTGGAAGCCTGACTCACGTCAGGTGCCGGCCTTCTTAAGATGCTGCTTGTTGGTGCCTGCCTGTATCTGAGCAGGAGCTTTCCCACTTGGACTCTGTTCCTGCACTAAGTGCCACCAATTACCAACAAAACATCCTTGTGTGCTGAGAAATAGCTGAAATGACCAAACTAATGAGGACATTAAGTATATTTTCTCACTGGTAATTATGCAGGCTCGGAAGCCAAGCTAGTATCTATATATACTTGTATTGCTAAATTAAAAGCAACTGTGGGACAGAGAATAGCAACATTTCAAGGAGAAGCAAATCAAACGTGGCATGTTTTGACTGCCGTGATTTACAACGATCTAAGCTCCCTTTTGAAAGAGAGGAGTTTGGCCCAAAGGAGAAGTGCCTACCCTGGAGGCAGGAAGGCTTCGCAGAGCCCAGGAGCTGTCTTTCTGTGAGCTGGAACCCAACCCCTCGACCTCCCCCTTCTTACAAGCAGGGAGAAACCATGTACTGACTATCTTACAGGGTGCAGAGGCATGAAGATTAAAACAGGCAGGTCTGACAGACATTTTTCATGTCTCCATTTACCTGATTTGGGGAGGGGGTTGAGCGTGCATGTGTGTACTTGCAATAAAGTGTATGGGTGACAATAATGGTATAATTCAAGCTTTGAGAAAAGTCCTATTTAGAATGTAATCAATTATGGTTATGCTCCAAAATATTTACAATGCTTAACACAAACAGTGGGATTTAATGCAACAATCTCAAAGCCACGGAGTCTATTCTGACTCAGGGCGAATTTGGAAGGCAGAGCAGAACTGCACCTTTGGGTTTCCAAGATTTCAAATCCCCATGGGAGAAGACAGCCTTCTCTTTCTCCCACAGAGGACTGGTGGATTCGAACAGCTGACCTTGTGGTGATCAGGTTCGTGGGTAGCCTCCTACACCACCAGACTCCTGAAGAGTGTAATTAGACGGCCTAAACAGAGAGCCACGTCTCTGCGTGGGACAAATGGTTCACATGCTCAGTTGCTAGCCAAAGGGTGGGAGGTTTAAGTCCAGGGAGAAGCACCTCAGAGAAAGGGCCGATTATCTACTTCCAAATGACCAGCCTTGAAAACCCACTCTGAAACATATGGGGCCACCGAGATTTGGAAAAGACTTCATGGCAACTGGTTGTGTGTGTGTGTGTGTGTGTGTATTTACATTAAAAAATCAGTAGGTATATAGTATTATTACTGTAGTCTTAAAAAATTAAAGCGTTTATTGTTAATGTAGTAAATTGCCATGCAGTAGAAGTAGCAGGATAGCACTCTGAGTGATGAAATTTGGGTCTAATCCTCACTCTGCCATTGACCTTTGGTAAGCTGCTTAACCTCTTTAAACCATAAGTTACTCCTCTGGGAAAGCGAGGTTTGGATTCTTAATTGAAATGATATAAGAATGTTAAGCGATGGCACCTGGCCAGGTACTACGCGATACATTCATGCCTGTACTGTTTTGAGAGAGTAAACAATAAGTTCAGTCTAGTTAAATAACAAGTTACTTAACCTGGCTCTTAGGTGCATATATAGTTACTCATGTTTAGACTTAGTAAGGGGAACCTCAGAATCATAAAATCTTAGGCTTGGAAGGGGCTTAGCATCATCCAAAATAACTTTCCTCCGCGCAAGGGATCCTGCCACGCGTTCTCCTTTATTACAAATGCGGACGAACTCATCCATGGTCCCACAGCAGCTGCTGGGACCAAGACCTGCTCAGCCTCCTTCTATCTGCCCTTGGGAATAAAAGTCCTGTTTGTCCCCGGGAAGCCCATCAGAAATCCCAAGAGTCGCCCCAGTCCCCCTGATTCCTCTTTCCTCCTGTTTGTATATTTTCCAGTTCCCCCAATCATCCTGTCAAAGTTTCTGGAAACACTGTGTCCCTCTTCTATCAGCTCGAAATTGAACTCCATCCGTGGCACCACCAACAATCTTTTCTGATCTCCATATACGCAGACTTCATTCTAAGGTAGTGAAGCACCCCATTCTGCCCCGCACCACACACACAATACTTGGTTGGTTCATATTGAACATATGTGGCATACACTCCCCAGATCTTTTTCACATGCGCTACTGACGAGCCGAGGCTCTCCCCCCTTTTCCCTCTAGATTCTAAAGGTTGAGCTTCACATTTATTCTTGTTAACTTTCATCACGATGGTTTCAGCCCATCCCGTTTCCAACCTGTCGAAATTGTTTTGAATGTTGATTCTAACATCCATCACATTAGCGATCCCTCCCAGCTTTCTGTCACCTGCAAGTGTGATTAGCATGTTTTCTATGTCTACATCCAAGTTTTTGATGAAAACTTACTGTATTTTTCAAAAAAGTCTTTAAGTCAACTGATTTGGGTCCAATTTTTTAAAAATAATTTCATAAAGCTATGGAGAAGCAGGAGAATCCAAGCTCATATGGTTCAGCTGATTCCCAAGCAATGCAATGAGAAGAAACAGGCTTTGAAAAACTGAGCCCGGTAGTACTAATGTGACCCTGACTCTGGGCTGGTCAATGGACAAAGCCAACCATTACATTGGATAAATGTTTGTTGCTGGGGATGACGACTGTAGGCCAACAAACTGGCTGGTGCAGAGGTGCGCAAACACACTCAAAGAGCTGGGGGGGCGTGTGCCATGGAATGACTAAGTAGGCTGTGTAGACCAATAATTGGATTATTTGGGGCCAAAAAGTTATTTTGGGGGCCTACATTCTCTGGAAGGATCATGAATAGTCATTTCAAGTGTCCTGGCACAAGGGCAGGTTCTGTGCTCCAACTTTAGCCTCGACATCCCAGAGAAGGATCATTAGTTCAGGTGAACTGCATCAGAGGAAGCTAGGGGACACCTCAGGGAGAAGTCTTTATGATCTCAAATGCTTTTCCAGCACCATTGCTCATTGAACCCCAGGAGGAACTTAGCACAGACTTTGGGGTCCACTACGCTTGGCCTCACATTTTAGCTCTGATGCACATTACATGCTGACAGCGGCTTATCCAAGTTTGACCTCTTCGCTTGTGAAACAAACGTCATAGAACTTACCTGTACGGGGCTGCTGCAGCCTTAGCTATGTGCAGTGCTTACACTGTCAGACACCCGACAAATAGCAGAGTGAGAGAGCTTGGTCAGAGACAAAGCGTACTTGACACTGTCCTAAAGCTTTACCAAATGTCATTTCCACCTTACAACAGGGGAATCCCTTGGTTCTACCTATCACTATTACCCCAAAATTGGTGGTGAGGAAATTCAGGTATTACAAGGTTTGCAATCACCCTGCTCATGGTTGCCAGGTAGTAAATGATGAAGTTGGGATTGGTTATTTTAATCTAGGCCTGAACACCCAATCCTAAACCTACCACATTATCTGTTAGCTTATTATTTGAGATTGACTTTAGTTTAAGAGATGCCACTTGTAATCAGAACAGGAGCCCTCCGCCTTTAGTGCTAAGGACCTCCTTAGCTCCTCACATGGAATGCTGTGATCAGATGGGGGGAAGGAGGCCTCAGAGCTGGTAGGCAGGGAGCTCACGGGGTGGTACACAAACCACCCCTTCATTTCTGTAACCTAAGGGAGGGAACGTCACCAGGACACATTCAACAGACACACTTTCTGCCAGCCATTCAACTGGAAACTTGAAATGCTGATGAAACCCGGGGGAAACCATCGGAGGTGGCTGCCACGCAGATCAACCAGTCAGGCACTACTGTAGGGTGTTGCTCTCCCTTAAGCACTATGTAGCTGTTTTCTGGGCAAAGCGAGGAGAGCTAGTTCTATAGTTCACGGTTGCCGGAAAGCTTAAATGAGACACTATATACCACAGCACCTGGCATTCTGCCCTCACTCACTGCCACTCACTTGATGGCAACTCCTAGTGACCCTACAGGACAGGGTACAACTGTGTGTTTCTACCCCTGGGATTGCAACTCTTTATGGGAGTCGAAAACCCTGTCTTTCCCCCTCAGAGCAGCTGATGGATTTGAACTGCTGCCCTTGCAGTTAGCAACGACGCCACCAGGGCTCCTTGCATCCTGCTTAGGATCTAGAACCTACTCAATAACTGTGATCAACATCTTCCCTTTCCCTACCCTCTCTGACCAAGACCCTTTTTTAAACCAGATGTTTGTGCTTTAAACAACTGCTTTATATAATGTCGACTAGGAGCCCTGGTGGCGCAATGGTTAATCACTCCACCGCTCACCGAAAGGGGGGCCGTTTGAACCTACCCAGCTACTCTTTGGGCAATCTGCGTCCAACCACGGAAACCCTAAGGGGCAGTTCTAGTTCATCACGTGAGGTCGCTCCGATGACACCCAACAACAATGGTTGACACATTTGCTCAAAAATCCTCTCTCTGGGGATTTGCACAGCTCAGACGGATCAGATTCAAATGTATCCCATCGGAAATGAAACACTGTTATGCTTTGGGTGACTTCAATGATAATACCGGTAATCCTTTATGGTTTTCAAAACATTTTCACAACCATCGCTTGTGCGTGGCTGGTGTTCCCAACCCCCTGTGAGGTTAAATATTGTAATCATCTCCACTGGAGGTGTAAGGCAGGCAAGGGCGGAAGCCAGGTGACGCCGAAAGGAAGCAGCAGGGGCAGCGTGCCATCCCAGGCCTCCTGCACCGCCCAATGTCAAGGCCAGTGCTTGTTCCTCTCCATCAGCAATCTAATCCCTCTGAATAAGCAGCAAGTCAATAAATGCCAATGCCATCGAGCAAACTGCTTAAGGAGAACGTAAGGCTCACCCAGAAGTTTGCTCACACTATGAAAAGACAGTGGCCACGCTGTGGGAGCCCATGAAGGAAATCTACACATTGTCATTCACCTGTGCAGACTCTTCACCGGCACTACCACCAGGAATGCTGTAAACTACAGGTAGGATGGGCGCAACAATGTCAGGGGCATTTACGAAGACATTTAGACATCCAATAGAGCAAAACTATGATTTGGTGCAATGCAGATGAAATTCCACTTCATTCTAAATGAGAAAGAGAAACGCACAAGAAGGCACGAGACCTGTCTAGCACATCATCAGGCGCAAAGGCATTCTAACCAACAGCTTCTAGGAGTGTCAACAACAGAAAAGAGCTCCTGATCACTCATTTGAAAGCAGGACATCACAAAACTTACTCTGGAATAATCAAGATCTCTGGTTGTTGAGTCTGTTAGAGCTCGGACAAGGGCATTCATCATACAGATCGGAGGAGAAGGCGGAGAGGGCTGAGAAGGTTCCTGCTGCAACGGGCTCTTTGGTTTGGAAGGCAGCCGACCTCGTCTCCCTTTTAAACTATCGGTCCGGACAACTGATGGTGAGAGAGAGAAAGGAAGAAGTCTTCAAAGATATCCATGAATGGCCATCAATGCACACACACATGGAGTCAAACACATTACAACTGGACGATCCTTCATGAGACCAACCGCTTAAAAGTAGCACTACGCTTTGAATAGTAGGACCCCAAGGGTTTTGTGAGAGCGGAGGGCAAGCAGCAGGCAGCCCCTCTCGTAGCTAATCTTTGGGGGTGAGTTAGTGCTAAGCAGCACACAGCTGTGCTCCACTTCTCAAGTGATGGTGTGTGGATGCACACAGGCTTTTCATTGATTGTGAAAAATTAGAAATCAGTCATTTTCTCGGTTGTTTCTTAAATGCAAACGCATAGCATAAAAAATAAAATCCCGGAGGCACAAGGAAGGTAGAAATAATATTCTGACACAAATTAAAACCTTCCCCGATGGTGTGTGAGACTATGCGTCAGCATTATTGACAAGCCCCGCTGTGTAAGCACACTGGGTACAAGGCGCGACGCCCTTACCTTCTTTAACCATTCCCACACTGAGACACTTTTCAAATCGGCAGTACTGACATCGGTTTCGACGTCTCTTGTCGACTGGGCAGTTTTTATTTGCCAGGCAAACATATTTTGCATTTTTCTGCACCGTTCTCTGAGAAAAGACAACACAGTGATAGTTAGCTCATAGTTTCTGGAAAGAGGTAGGGCCTGACAACATGTATTTTAATTACAATGTGAAACGCGACAGTGCAATTCGTATAATTAGATAAATTTAATTTCCTAACACGCTAGCCTGCAGGAAAAACAATTTTATTAGTGTTCGCTGCTGACAATGAAAATCATCTCAGATTGTTCTGAAGCGAGTCTCAAGAGACACGCAACTCTGAATGATAAAATCATATCTGAAATTACCAGGTCAACATATCATACCTTAGAGGATTAGATTATCTCCATTTTTAATATCCCTTTGGGAACAATTTCCTACTAGTTCCACTCCCCTGATTATTGCTGACCTTATTAAAATAAAATCAAAATGATCTGAGATATACATTGTTTGCTATCACTATCGTAAGTCAATATCACAGTAACTGGCTTTGTTATCCAATAGAGATGAAATCATAAAAAGCAAAAATTGAGGCTTACCTAGTTAAAATATAGAGGAAATCATGTTTTGACACACAAACACACAAATCATTTAATCAGCCCGCGTAGTAAGTTTTAGCGTTAACAGAAAATAAATGGCAAACTGGCCATTTCTAGTGGTGAAAGCAATATCTTACAATTTGCTACTCAATCCACTAAGAAACCAAAGCACGGCAAAATAAAGTCAACAAAAGAAAAAAGAAGGGAATATGGGTGCCATTCATTTTCAATGAAATGCCCATCATTCGGTCACTTCACAAATGACTATTATCTTGACACCAAAAGAGTAACCTTTTAAAACCAAAAACTCACTGCTGACTCATAGTAGGACAGAGCAGAACTGCCCCTGTGGGTTTCTAAGACTTTAAATCTTTGTGAAAGTAGTCAGCCTCATCTTTCTTCCATGGGATGACTGGTGGGTTAGAACCACCGAGTCACTGAGCCTGTAGCTAGCAGCTTAGTGCATAACCTAATACGCCTGCCACCAGGGCTCCACGGTCTTTTAAAAGGCACTTCAGAAACTTGGACTTTCTGAATCATCTAGAATTCTTAAATGGAGAAGTAAACATATAAATGTGCTCTAATTTTAAAATAATGTTGAATTTCTTTATTAAAAGTGTTTGTGCAACTCTTTACCACTTAGGACAAAAGTGTTCAGAAATTACGTGGGTCTACACAACTCTGAATAGAGTGGTAAATTGGTAATTATTTGGTAAGCCTGGGTTGCATTTGGAAAAAAAAAAGGCAGCCAGATAATTCGGGTTTCATGATCTGTCTATGCCCCAAATTCTACATGGACTGTCTATATTTTCTTCACTTTCAGTCCTCCTTAAGCCCACACATTAGCTTTCATGCAATTTACCTTTGAATTTCAGATTAGGGGACTGTTTCTGAATGGCTTACATAAAAATTTTAAAAAGAATCTTACCAAGCCAAGCTATTTTAAGCATAAGACTAATTCTCAGGATACATTTCCTATATTAATTTCAAATGCAAAATTTTCTAGCGGAAACACCCTCCTGTGTGCTTAGCAGCATTTACATTCTCCTAAGCTCTCTTTCCTTGAGCCCAGGGTCAGCTCCTCAACGGGTTTCCTGCTCATCACCCTCAAGACTGACCACCCCTTTGAGTGCTGGTGGCTTTTTGCTTTGGGTATGCCCTTTCCCAATAACCTGGATACGTCCTCATATTTGTGAGGCCTGCACAGTTTCAGGACAGGGAGCATCGCTATGGTTCAATCGCTGATTTCCCATCATTCACTGCACTTCATGTCACATTTTTAAAGAATTCAATTTAATGCTAGAAAGCCACTGGGTAAAACCTGCTCCTGTTCCCTTAATTAACAGATCTGTGGGGTGGTTCTCCCCCATCACACCCTCCCCTTTCCCCCCACCCTTTAGCATATAGATTTGTTTTCAAGGGATTGCTGCAGAAAAGGGAAGCTGCTGGGGAAAGCTAATTGACATCTCCAGACTCGGAATGCATTACCATGCCTGTATTTTGGTCAATTGTCCATTGTTCAAGGGTGATTCTATCTGAGGGTCTCTTTGCTGTTGTTCTGTCGGGTCCCCCTTTCTGCTGCCCACTTAACTGCCCTCCAGCATTTCCACTGGGGTGTATGAACATAAAATCTGCTCCAAGAAGGCAGCTACTGAAAATAGCTCTCTAGGTAAAACTCTGGTGGTGAAAGACAGGAAACACCCCAAACAAAACCCCTTCTGGGTCGACATTTAAAGAAGCATGCCTCTGTTTACCTGTCAGGCACCTAACAGGTTGCAGAGTCTTTCCATTTTCTCATGTATCTGAAGGAATCAATCAGTCGCATGATTCCTGTTCCTATGTCGTTGTTTGTGAAAATGTCACTTGTTGGCATACTCACCCCCACACAATGGCATTTTCACAAAGAGTTGGTAGTTTTCATTTTACGGTGTGGTCCTTTCCAGGTGATGACGAGCTTTCTTACAGGATTAACTCCCCTAACACAGTGCTTCTCCGAGGGGTGTTTTAACACGGGAACTGTGGCCTGGTACAAAGGGCCACTGCAAAGTCATGCAGTTGGTAAGAGGCAGGTCCAGAACTGTTCTACTTCCAGCATGCACTCGGCTAAATCCTTTCGGCCTCCCAAATCCTCTTGCTAAATAGGCATCCCGCGTCTCCATCTTCCCACCTGCCCTACATTAGACCAGGCAGTGGGAGGGCATCTGTGGGCTTGCCCAGGCCTATGATGAAGGGCGTGAGGAGGGTGGCACAGAATTGAGGGTCTGGAGAAGCGCACGAGTCAGCAGTGCGACCACCAGAGAACCAGGTTTTTCCTCCTGATGGATGGAAAGAGCACCGAGCTTGGGAGTCAAATGAAACCAGCTGGAATTGCCTTGTGTGCAACTGAAGCCCCTGTTTGTACATCCTGACTCAAGGCCCCTCCCTTCCCTAGACTGCAGCACCCTTAATGGGCAAAATGTGGGCGGCACTGAAGACCCTCCTACCCATCGCACACTTTTGAGTGGATAAGAAAACGAGCCATGGCTATACTTGGTGTCAAAGAGGGAGCAAAGGCCTCCTAGTGGAGAGAGCAGGTTGGTGAGATCCCAAGTTCAACCCTCTATGGGGGGAGTCATCCCCAAGGACATCTAGCTGATTGCTCCTGTCTGTCCAGTGCATCTGCTCAGCTGCAGGGGTTGGTATCCTGTCTCCATCTCACTGCCTGGGTGTGTTGTCTCGGGGTAGCTGGATAACCTCTCTGGGCCTCCAACCCTCAGCGATGAACCAAGGGTCATTCCTAAAAACTATCTTCGAGGCACCATGAGTAAAAACAGTTCGCCCAGGGCCGTCGATCACTTTAAGAGCTGTCTGCTTCTGGAACAGGAACCCTTACTGCCAGGCTCACAGCAGGTATGAATGGCGCTCGGAACCCATCCCTGGACTGGTCACCCAGGGCACACACACAAGGACTGCAGTGAGGTTTCTGCACTTCTGAGGTCACAGAGTGGAGAATCAGCTGACAGCTCTTCCTAGGAAAATGTTCTCGCTCAATGTCAGCTCCATCCAGTCCCGCCCCCACCCCCACCTCCACTCCTGCGCGTGGATTCAAGGGAAGAGTGAGAAAATGGACGAGAAGGTGGCCAGCAGTGCCCAGGCTAAGGATCTCACTGGGAAGGACAAGGGTCACCCTTGACACCAGGTGCTCACTTCTGCGGCCCCGCAGCGGGCAGGGGGCATGGAGCAGGAGGAGGCGCGCTCACCTTAAAGAAGCCCTTGCAGCCCTCGCAGGTGCGCACACCGTAGTGCTGACACGCGGCGTTGTCTCCGCACACGGCGCACGTCCCCTCGCCGGACGATGAACTCCGGTTGGGAGGCGACGGCAGGCTGGGGCTCTCCCCGAGCAGGCTGGCCGCGGCGGGGGAGGCGGTCAGGCCGAGCGGCGGGAAGGCCAGCGCGGCCGCCCTCTTGGCCAGCGGC